CTTGTGATTTACCACTGGGCATAAATCCCCTATCATTTTCGAGAGCAGAAGAAATCACCCAGACTGAGTGTCTGTACTTCGGCGCTCACTTATAGCCAGAACTTGATTTATCTGTAACCCCCGCCTCTCCAGGTTTTGCCGTGCAGCCTCAGAGCTGTGTTAGACACGCAGTGATAGGCACAAACACGAGTCAAGTCTGTGGATTCCCAATCCCTGCTGGTGTTTTGTGGCACTGTATCTAGGAATGCGAGCGCCCCACCTCGCGTGACTCACTCTTTTCATCACAACCACAGCAGGGAAACATTACCACGTCATGTACAGGAAGTGGTCATGGTGACGCCCACTTGTCTCCTAAAAGGGGGGGAAAAAAAAACGTACTTAAGTACAATGACTGGCTGACTGACTGACTGGCATTCAGTACAAATCTTTTTAAAGTTTAGGACTATTTCTTTTCAACATGAATTTTATTTAGGTTTAAAAAAAGTGACCTGTAGTGAAGTACATTTAAAATAATGAAATATTTCGATTTTTAATTTTTTTTTTTACCTTTTATCCTTTTCATGCTGACATTCCTGCAAAAGTCAGATCAAGGTGATTTTCTCTGTGTAGCCCAGATTCAGGAGCCACGGTCTGATTAATCACAGGCTAGCCGCGGATAAATCACAATTAATCACGATTAATCTGATCTTGATTGTAATTGTTTTCTGCAGATTGCTGGGACAGAAAGGCATGTAACGGCAGAATTTTAGTCATCACTTTGTAGCTGTCATAACTTACTCTCCCAACCGCTGCTGAGAAGTCGTCATCAATACTAATCAGTCCACTCTCCCACACGATCGGTTTGACTGTTGTTTCAGTCACTTTGTCTGTCGTAGACTTCATTTCTGTCACTGCTCTCGGTCGAGCCGCTACGACACGACCAGCTCATGTAACCTGGAGGTGAAGCCTCCACATGTACGTGCTGAAGCTCGGTGAAACTAAACTTCATTTGAATTGAATGCATTAAACCAGGGGTGTCAAACTCATTACCACCAGGGGGCCACATCAGCAATTCATTTCCATTTGAAGGGCCGGTTGTAAATGGAAGACTGTATAGATCAAGGATCCCCAACCCCTGGTCCGTGGACCAGTACCAGTCTGTAGGTCATTTGATACCGGGCCACAGTGGGATACATTGAAAAAATGTATTTAATTTTTACTGATTTTCTTCATTCAAAGAAAATCCACTCATATCCATTTACTTTCTTTCTTTAAAGATAATCTGGCAATATTTAAAAATAAAAGTCATTCAGACTTTTCAGATACAAACAGAATAGAGTCTAAAAGATGTTTTATTTTGAAAATTTAATGATCCTTCAATGCTCAGCACCTCGGTACAGGTCTGTACTAACGGGTGGTACTAAAAAGAAAAAAGATTAGGGACCGCTGGTATGGATGTAACTACTCCATAACAGACTAAAACCTGTTTCTGCAATTGATTATTATTTGATTGATTCTAAAAACTTTTAATTTCTCAGGTTAAGAAACTCTGCGTCATGAACTTTACCAAATGCTTTTTAAGCTCCCGCGGGCCACACAAAATTCACAGCGGTCCTGGCCACCACCACACACACAACGATCGTCACTTCGACCCCTCAGCATTACCCCCAGCAGCCGACTGCAACCCACGCCCCTTCTCAGCCCTACCAGTCGGTCCAGTATCCACCCTACCAGCCAGTGCCGGTGCAGCCGGGATACGGAGCTCAACCCATGCCTGCGACACAGTACCAGGCACAGCCGTTCACACCGGGGCCTCCCCCGTCATATCAGGAAGCCAGTGAGTGTTAACAGCAGATCCGGTGATATTTATAAAAAAAAAAAGAAAAAAAAAAAGTAAAATCTCACGCCATGCCATGTTTTTTGTTCCCGTTTTCATGTCCAGCTGGTCCAGCCTACCCGCCCAACCCGATGCCTTACAGCCAGGCTGCGTTCTCTCCTAACCATCCACCGTATCCTATGCAGCCCCCTGCACAGCACGGGGCCAGCGCTCCGCCCCCGCAAATGGACTTCCTGACCCAGCCTGCATACAACCCGGATTTTATGGCACCCAAGACTGGATAAGAGTCATCAATTCAGGAGCCATTTGAAATACTCCACAGTGTTGAGGGGGTCATCTAGACGGAGAGACGACGTGTGTCCAAGAGCCTTCTTTCGCGTGATTGGGTGGAGGCTTTGTGACAGCTTTTTCGTTTTTTTTGCGCTTTTGGGAGTATTTTTTCACGAATGCGTTTTTGTATTGGCGCGTCTTGCATGGGCTAACGATATAACGCAAGTGATGAGGTCACTGTTGATTTTGTTGGGGTTTTTTTTTTTTTTCGTCACGGGTTGCTCGACCATAGTCGTCTGGATTAATTAACCATAAAAAAAAAACAAAAAACAAGTGTATAAAGTGCATCTCCCTCCTGCTCTTTGTCTGTTCTAAACACCAGCTGAACCCGCTTCACCTTTTTTTTGTCCTCTGTACAGCCATTGAAGTCACGCACAGAGGGTCAAATTGGACGAAGAAGGGATTTTATGTCGGATCTGTCCGGATCTAACCGCCTTGTTTATTTCCGACCGATTACGTGCTTTCAATCTTTTGGTTTTTCACGAATGTTCATTAAGGGGAGATGTGTGAGTTTTCATGTATGTTTAAATAGAAAACGCTGAGACCGTAGCGTAAATAGGGTCCCCGAAATGTGTATTGTTGTAAAGAATTTGTAATATTTAGAAAAAAAAAAAAAGACATTATTTTATATCTGTTAAAGGGTGGTAGGATCTCAGGAAAAGGGAGGGAAAAAAAATATTATTTTAAATTGTGTTAAAGACCTATCCATCTCGCAGGAGTACGTGTACAGCATTGAAAAAAAAAAAAAAAAAAAAAGAGAACACCAAAGGAATTTCATTGCTCTTTCTTCAGCCTAACACTGGTATATGCTGAGAAAATACTCACAACACACGAGAAGCAGCCGTGCCTTCTTTGCCTGCAAAGCAACATTGTCGATGTCATTTTAAAAAATAATCGAAAGTATTTTTTTTTAGTTTGATTGTTGTCAGCTTTTTGGAGTGAACGTTACTGTTGACGAGCTGTTCAAACTGTATTTACTGTTACATCCCAAAGTGAGTCGCGTGTTGCAAATTCTAGAATTTTTGTACATTTCAAATTATGCATCCTTGTTTTTTTTCCAGAAACGTTTTTGTGACAGTTAATGGCATATTGACTTTTGTTTTCTTTAGGTAAGATGTTTAAGAGTTTTTCAGCAAAGCCATCTTTTCTACTCTCTGCTCACTGAGAATACTTGAAATTATATGTTTTTGGTTTTTTTTTCTCCCTTCTACTCAAGTGGCCTTTTTGCATTTAAATAGTCAAAACCTGACACTGTCTTTTTTTTTTTTAAAGTCTGCTCTTAGTTAAGTCGGAGAGAAAGTGCTACGTCAACCTCTCGGTTTGTATATCATTCACCTCTTTTGCCTCAAGCCTGTCCGTGTTCTTGTACTGCCCCTCTGAGACGTTACCCTTTTGGCCAGTGTTTTCATTAGTCTGACTGTTAGCATTTTAGTGTATTCCATCAAAGAACAATTGTCATTGATGCTACAGATATGTATGACTTTTATCTAGTATAAATCCTGCAGAATTGAATAAAACGTACATTTTCTGCTCTGCCCAAAATTGTCTTGGGTGGAATTCTTCGAACGCACCATTTAAAAAAAAGTGTGTTAAACCAAAGTTGTCTTACAGTTGGTGTACTTTTTCTTCAAGCCCTCAAAGGAAACGGAAGCTAAATTTATTTGCAAGCAGATCATGCAAACCCCCCACCCCCGCCCCCATACCAAACCACCCCACTTCTACCTCCCACCTGCTTACGTAACATTGTTGTTAACAGTTTCAGTTTTTCTAGTCCAGAGATGTCTGTAAGCAAACACTGTATAACGAAGTAGTAGCACAACAGACGCCTAATTTAAATTCCAAAATCACACACACAGAGCAACTGCCAGATTCCTTGAATCCTACTGGTATTAATACCACTGTTTGTTTTTGTAAAATATAAATTGTATATATATTTTAAATAAACTTACTTAAAGTATTTTCTTCAAGAAGCAGACAATGTTTAGGCATGGACAGTATCACAGGTGACCACCGTATTAAATGTCATAAACAAAGGCAGCTCTGCGTGACTGATACACTCCAGCCAGTCATCTAAGGATTAATCAAAAAACCTCGCTTGTTATTTCGATAGTTTAAACGGCCGTGCCGCGTTACTGCCACCTTGTGGCTCTGGTATTGTCTGCATATAAATATTAAGCAGAAACTTCTAGATAGATGGACGGACAGACAGACAGATAGATAAGTAAGTAACATGTCTGGAAGTGCTAGCAGTTTACCTTATAGCTACATGCTATAAAATGATAAATGAAAAAAAAATTTTTTTTATATATACACACATATACATATATATACACACATTGTATATGTATATACTGTATATTTATATATACATATATGTATATATAAATATATATGTATATATAAATATACAGTATATACATATACAATGTGTGTATATATATGTATATATGTATATATATATGTATATATGTGTATATATATATGTATATATATGTATATATGTATATATATATGTATATATGTGTATATATGTATATATACATATATACATATACATACATATATATACACACATACCTGTATATACATATACATACATATGTATACATATATACATATACATATACATATACATGTATAGCAGAATCACACCCAGGTTCAACAGTGCGCTCTTTAAGTTTCTTTTCCTGAGCACTAAAGCAGTGAGATGATAGTGTGAGAGATTATACCGCTCACAGACACCACTCAGATATGTTTTATGATATTCCACCCACTGTTCTGGACCTGCCCCTAGAACCTGGAAGTGGTGTCTGTGAGCTGTAAAAGGAAACTTAAAGAGCGCATTGTTGAACCTGGGTGTGATTCTGCTTTCCGCAAGATTTCCTTTGATGGTCCGGCAAGCATTTGCGCAATTTTACGAGGTTTGAGGAAACATGAAAGTGAAAAGAAGTTGAACGCAACACCATAGAACCCCACCAATAGTACGTTCATTAACTATGCAGGATGTGTTTTATGGAATGTGGTCCGGTTACCTACAGGGGAGTAGTACTTCAAGCTGAGCTTCCTGATCATTGCTCAGTGCAGCAGTGATGGCTTCAACTGCCTTGTCCTGTTTGCTGTGTGTCCTGTGTGTGCTCCTGTTTCCACCTTTAGGCGGTGAGTACTATATTTTCATATATTTATAATTCAAATTGAGGAAGTAAAACCTAAATAATCCACTCAATCTTTATTATTATTATTTTTTTTACCTATTAATGTTCTAAAGTGTTGAGAGTTTCACAAATCTCTATTATTATTTTTAAAGTCTCAGTATTTTGTGTCCTCCAGGTGCTGCGTGTGGCAGCTTCTGGGACAAATATGGAAACTTGCAGTTCAATGAAGATTGCTTTTTCAGGTACTGCCGTGAAGACCGCAACAAAACACACTGCTGCAGTGAACAGAAAAAAAAAAACAACAACATACAAACAAACACCTGAGCCAAGAGCAACACAGGGTACACTTTTACCCAGATACTGTAGGGTCAATACTGTTCACATGAAGTCACTCTTCAAACAGAATGAACAGATACTAATGTCAAGGCTACAAAAACTGCAGTTCAACCACGAAAGATACTTGAAGTTATACTTTGCTATTTTGGTATTATTTAAATTTCATGGTCATAGCATACAAACAAACATGTTAATGTCTACAGCTTTGTTCATCTTTTAGCCAGTTCTTGACGTTTCTTGTAAATTGTTTCATACGGTGAATTAATTTTATTTCAGTTGGTAATTTGGTAATGATCTTTGGGAAAAAGGAGACTCTCCAAATGTAGTTGTGTACAGTGATTTTTTTTTTTTCAGTTCCCATTTGCTATGTTCCTGACTTCGCTGTTAATACTACATAATCATCAGCATATCCTGAACTAATGCCTTACTTTATTTATGTGTTTGTTCTAGTTCAATTTCTAGTTTCTAGCATAAATGCATTTATTAGGAGAACATACAGTATGTTCAGGGAAAGGCCACAGGATGGCAGTGTGGTTCGTACACTTACCTTAGAGCAGGAAGATCACCTGCATGTTGGTTAGAATCCAAGTTGGACACACCTTATGGCCGCAATCCTGAAAGGGATGAAGGAGAAGATAAATGAATTAATTTTTTTTTTTTTTAATAAAATACATTTTAATACCATAATCAAGCACAAGCACAGGGCATTTCGCATGTCTGTCCACATACTAAATGGTATTCCAATATATATAAAAAAAATTCAGCGTGGACATGTCCCTCTATCTGACCTCTGTCCATGACCATGATGGTGTATGTTGTATTTTTTTATTTCAGGATTGTTTTTTTTCCAGGGTGTTCACATTCAGAAAAAGTGTTTTCACAGATGAACTGAGCGGCACTGGTCAAAGGTCAGCTCTCAGTAAACGCGGTAGAACAACATTCTATCGCGAATTACAAACGTATCAGCCATGTCATTTTCAACAGTAATGTGTGTATATATATATATATATATATATATAATTGAATGTTCAGAGATTTATCTACTTTTATTCTATTTTTCAGCTATAACTACAATAGCCAAGGACCAGGAGTAGCGGTACTTGTGGGATCGATTATTGGCTGCATTCTTTTGGTCCTCGTCTGTGTAATGCCTATCCTCTGCTTCCTGTGTCCCTGCTGCTTGTTGTACAAGGTGTGCCGAAAGAAACGCAACCGGACGCAGCAAGGTGAGACGTTTCACTGATCCAGTGATTGAGTCAACGATTGAATAGGACCATTACATAGTCTATTTACACACACAGGCAGAACAGGCATACAAAAAGACAGGGGATCGAACCCGTGACCTTCTGGGTGTAAGGCGAGAGTACTCATTTATTTATTCTATTTTCATCCTAAATTGTAACCAATAAACCTAATGTGTTAGTTACATCAAGACTCTTGTAACTATATACTTTCTCCCAGAAATGTTCTTCTGACGATTTATTTATCAAATATGTTATACAATATGTGTCTCTATTTTTTGTCTGCAGTCGCGCTAACCACCACCAACGTAGTCAACCATCACGGACAGCCAGTCCCATATCAGCCATCACACCCTGGCTACCAGCCTGTGCCAATTGTGCACGGGTACGGTGGTGTACCCGCGCCCACTGCACAGCCACAGTTTCACATGGAAAATGGTGAGATTTCTTTTGTTCTTCTGTTTTCCTTTAGGTTTAGAGTTTTCTATTTTTCATCTTGTTCAACTTATATATGTATATATGTGTATGTATATATTATGTATATATGTATGTGTATATATGTATAATTATACATATATACAATATGTTTGTATATATGTATATATATTTATATATGTATGTATATATATTTATATATGTATATATGTATGTATATATGTATAAGCATACATGTATACATACATACACACACACACATATATATATCATATATCTACGATATGCTATGATGTCAAAAAGACAAAAAAAAAAAAAAAAAATTGAGATTTAATTAGTAGTGACCAGGACTGTTTGGTCAGAATTATTAATTCAAACTCTAAGACCAGACAGAGGACATTAGCTATTTGACAGGAAGAGACGAAGTTTGTAGAGACATTTTATAAATTAAAGACAATCACAAACTCTTTTTTTTCCCCCTCCCACAGATTCATCTCTCCCCCCTCCGTTACCACTGGGGCCTGGTGGGGTTCCTTATCCTTCTCCACCACCTTATTCTGAATATCAACAACCCCCCTACAATCCATCCTATGACCCGTAACTCTAAGCCATGATCCAGGGATTGTGTGAGTGTATGTGTGTGTTTGAATGTATTTTGTACACAAGAGCAGCACCATGGGATGTCATTTTTAAGCGTAGTGATTTTTTTTTTACTTGAAATGTTAACGAAGTTGTCTGCTGTGTTTCATGTGTTAACGAGACATTTATAAAATGTTACGTTATTAAGGTTCGTTTGTTTTTAAATTCAATTACAATTCAATTTGATCAAATATACACAGGACCAAACATTTGCCTAAAGGTAAACTCAGTTACAGTTACATTAACTGCCAATAGAGGGCGCCTCCTCCACGTTTTCTTTCATGAACCATAAAAACCTGGCGATCATGTCAGAGTCAAACCAAAAGTTTCTTAGTATCTTTTGCATAAAAAACAAACAAAACAATAAGACAATAATGTATATCTTTAGAAAGTCGCTAGAGGGCATCCTTTCCCCCAAAATATTTATATGATTTTTCAAAAATCAAATAAGATCTTCTACTTAAACACTGTACAAAAAAAAAAATCCCAAAAAGTTTATATATGAATACAAGAGCTCAGATAAAATAAATCCTTTGAAATATTCAAAGCATGTACAGTAAATTAATTTAAAAAAAAATCAATTCAAAACCTACTCTTGGACTGCAAAGAAAGACCTAAATATGTGTAACTGTATTTTCCTAATTAGTTTCAATATAAACCTATGCTTTTTTCTATTTTTTTTTTAATTCTATTTATTTGAAGCATTGTTGATGTTCTTTTCCTGTTGTTTCTACGTGTTTTAAAAATATTTGTTTTGGTTTCCGACACTGCATTAGAGCAGGGGGGGGGGGGGAATTGTGTAAAAGACTGCTCCATGATTAATCTTAATCCAAATCTCCTACCATCACATAATCATAATAATTTATGCTCTCACCCACCGATCTTCTGGTATGACAGAGCTACTCTGGGAACACGCGCAGTTAAATTGGCAGCCTGGGCGTGCTCGCATTTAATTCCATAATAACCGCAGCCACTCTCTCTCTCTCTCTCTTATAGCAGCCTGCAACATCCATTAATCAATACAGTAATAGTGCTGAGTGGCTATTTTAGTCATGGAAGTTACCGGGCACCAAACGAGGGGGGAAAAATGACCCGGCCCATATGTACTGCTCCCCACAGGCCGGCCTGCTGTCCTGTCTAAAACAGTCTCTCTCTCTCCTTGAAGTGTGGCTCACACTGCTAATGAGCTCACGGACAATGTGGCAGATGATCTTTACAGCTGGAACGTGGCCGTTCTCTGCCTCCGTACATCCCTTTCCTCTTTCCTCCTTCTCCTCTCCCTTCCCGTTTCTCTCCATCTGATTGTCTTTTCTTCTGACTGACTCTGAGGGCACTCCTGCTTGGCCTCCTGCCCGAGCTGCCATTAGGATGTTTTGGGCTTTTTTTTTTTTTTTTCCACCTCCCACTCCATTCCTCTGCATTAAATCCGGTTCTTTTGCTGTATAGAAGCTTTCGCGTGTCTCTCGGTGTATTCTATGGACAGGGGGAATTTGTCATCTTCACGTTCACTCTGACTCACATATATACATATATTTGATTATATCCATCCATCCATCCATCCATCCATTTTCATCCGCTTATCCGTTTCCGGGTCGCGGGGGCAGCAGTCACCACCCAAATAGGCTGTAGTGAGATATGCTATGATGTCAAAAAGACAAAAAAAATAAATTGAGATTGAATTAGTAGTGACCAGGACTGTTTGGTCAGAATTATTAATTCAAACTCTAAGACCAGACAGAGGACATTAGGACTGGTTACTCGGGTATACTGTATGTGCGTGGGAGCGATTACTGATGAAAAAAAAAACAAAACAAAAACTGATACAAGCTGTAGTTTTGGCTGACCCACTGCAGAGATAATGATAACTTGTCCCTCATGCACAGGGAAAATAAACAGAAATCAAAACATTATTTATATTGGATGTATTTTTTAAACTATTTTCCACTTAAAACTATTTTTAAAGATATGGGAAAATTATTCCACTAATGAAACACAGATGCGTTTATTTTTTCCCATTCAACATGACCATATTAGTAGGTGTAGTGAGACCAAAAGTAAGCAGAGATATTGATTTTTTTTTTTTAAATTCAATGTCATCGATTAATAAAGTGATTTGATTTTCTATAAAAAAAACGTTTCTTTTGCTTCTTTGCACAAGTCTTTGTTTTGTTTATTTGTGCCTTTCGGTATAAACCTCACAAAAGCACTGAGATAAAAATCATATATAAAATGTGTTTTTAATCACAAAAATCTGAAGCAAAATTTCTCTTAATTCAAAAAAGCAGCATTACTGTATTAACTTTAATGTACCGCTGCCGCGTTCACTTTTTTTTAAATATATTGTAATTGCTTTAAAACTCACGTTAACTCACTATAGCTACAGCCTATTGAAAATAAAGTAATAAAAATAGTTTTTAATTCAAGGAGTATTTTAAAATCGAATGCGTTTCATGCTCTTGGAACAGGAAGTTCTGAACAGAAGGTGTTTAATACACATCACCTGGTTTATCCTCTACTGTAAGGCCTGCAGTATCACATGATGAGAGGAAATCCGTCCTCATCCCTATTGGAATCTGGTACGTGGGTAGTCATGATCTTGGGTCACTTTGAATCTTCCTTACTGTAAATTAGAGCTGCTTCTCGGGCTAAGATGAATTTGGGAAATTCAGAAAAAAAGAAATACAATAATCTCTGAAAATGACACTGAACTTATCGATACTGAAAAGGCAAGCAAGAGTAGAAAATCACCGGTGGATTGTAAAAGAACTACTAAAATAAAATTACATATACAACCCATATAAACCCATATACAATCAGGGTAAACATACAACCATACAGACAGAGAGGATAAGTTACTACAGGAGCTTGAACTGGTGACCTCCTCGGTGTAAGGCAAGCGCGTCAATCACTCTTCCACTGTGCTGATTACGATTAGGTTGAACTTATTTCCGGGATATTACGGATTTCATAAACCTCCAAAAATATTTTTTTACATAAATATACAACCATTCACAGTACAGTGTTCCCTCTCTATATCGCGGTTCTCCTTTCGCCTCCTGAGTACATCGTAATTTTTTTTTTTAATCCGATCTTTTTTTTTTTCACTCTGAAAATGTTGAGGCTCGTTTTGAAATTGAGATAAGTGCGTTTTCGAATGATTGCTGGTAGCTTTGTTTACCTGTACGAGATCGTAGACAGCATACTATTGGCTAATACAGTGCGTACTCGGTGTGCTATTGGCTGATTGAGCATGCATGGAGGGTAAATAAAAAAAATATATATGAAATATATATTAAATAATATAATATGTAAATAATATAATAACTATCTCGCCTCTACTTTGCGATTTTTCCCATTTCGCGGTGGGTCTTGGAACGCAACTACCGCGATAGGAGAGGGACCGTTGTATACACATACATACACAGTACATTCAAAGTACTTCAGGAGGACATGCAACCACATTGCTTCAACACGGCTACTGAGTTTTGAGTTTTGCTGGGACTATGTTTGAATTTATGAAACATTTTAAATAAAGACAGGAAAACATTTTCAAACAAAAAGTTTGAAAATTGATGGAAGAACAGCCATTCACACTCACACTCCACAACAACCCAGCGACTCCGTTAAATTCTAAAACTGGTGGGACACTGAAAACCTTCTGCTCCAAATATCTCACCTGTCCGCGTTGTTCGGAGGGCAACTGTTGTCGGCGGTTTTACTGTGTGGAACAGTTGAAGTGTCCGCACTGACAGCTGCACGCGGTCTGAGTGAAGAGAAACACAAATCAGCTGAGTGGACCAGAGCAGCTGTGGATGCTAACAGCTAACCACAGGGATCATGTGACATGATTCTTATTCTTGTTACGATGTATTCTATTTTATTATTGCTATTTTGTATGTGTTAGTGTATATATATATATACATATATATATATATATATATATACACATATACGTATATACATATATACATATATATACATATATATACATATATAAACATATATATACATATATACTGTATATTTAGCCAGTTTTTGACCCGATTTTTGAGACGCACGACCTAGCGCCGTTCGGCCCGATTTTCCGTTGCTTTGGGCATCTTTTTCCGTACAGTGTACAGGGGGTAATGAGGGTCGATTATCTGTTCCCGAAACCACTGTCGGACGGTCGGAAGAATTTCTAACATGTCACAAAATTTTGGTCAGCCGACAAATTCTTTCGCACAGTGGAAGCAGAGCCCCCGAGCATTTCTCCCTCAGTGCGCCTGTGCAAAGTGATAGTAACCATGGCTAGGCGTCTGTGGCATGAAAATACGGAGGCGAGATTGATAGAGCTGTGGCACTGTCCACAATAAATGTAATAAATAATAAATAAACAATAAACGTACTGTCCACGTTTATTGAGCCAACTCCAGATGCGCCGGCACCTCTTCTTTTTGAAGAGCATGTTGCTAATAACCGGCGTCGGAGCTTTCACATAAATCTTTATTGACCGCTGTCAACAGACAGGACAGTCAGCAGGGGGCGACGGGCCGTTTTCACCCGCACTGCGTGAGCTCTCTGGTCGTGTCCGATGATCGGACCGTACAGTGTGAGTACATGAACCGCGAGCTTTGTCCGTACATCACTCGCACAGCATGTGATGGTATCAACGACGAAGATTTTCAAAAAAAAAATCGTACAGTGTATGCCCGCCCTAACAAGAAGCTAACGTCCCGTCTGATGCAGCTCATCAATTTCTCCTGCGTTGCCCTTTAGGAAGAGAAAGGAGTGTGTAATAAAGTTTCCCAGCAGCTCATTGTCCTCATCCCAGCCTCCTTTGTCTCCCGGGTTCATTCCCGGGATCGCTGCCACCAGAAAGTCAAGACACTGGGCCTTTCAAGCTAACGGTCTTGGACTGAATCGGCCTGTGGAGAGCTTCTTTTTCTCCAGTGGCTCTTAAAAAACAGTTTGTCCCTGGCTGTTTCATGTCACCTCTTGTCAGATCCCCATGCACCTGCAGGAGTGAGTGGAGAGTTCTCCCTCTCTCTCTCTCTCTCTCTCTCTCTCTCCTCTTCTGCCCCCTACCTCCCCCCTTACCTCCTCCCCTCCCTCTCTCTCTCTGTCTCTATTCAGTGGCCTCCAAGTATCTTGACAACCTTGCCTGGTATTTTGGCAGCAGTCCCTTGAGTGTTGATGTCAGCTGAGAGAAGGGAGGGAGGGAGGGAGACAAGAAGGCGGGGTAAAAAGAGATGGCAGGGGGGAGGAGGAGTGAGCGGGCTATTCAAGGCACTTGTCCTCTGTCTCCCTGTGTGCACTGAGGAGGGGGAGGCGCACAGGCACACAGAGAATCTCTCTCTCTCTCTCTCTCTCACACACACACACACACACACACACTCACACACATTCTAGTGGCGGCCACATTTTCACAGGCTGCTCTTCAGACTGACAGCAGCAAACGGGGTTGAGAGCCAGCGCGGAAGAGCAGAAGGGCTGGAAGCAAAGCAGGGACCTTCAGGGGAGGGGAGAAGACTTTGAGCTGATTTTATTTTTCCTACCTTTTTCTTTCTTTCTTTCTTTGCTCTCTGAAGGCATCCTCCACACTCTCCATCTGAACTGACCGGACCTGTGTCCAGCTATGGCAGCTCCTGTGGGACACTGGGACGCTGCCTCCGTGTCATCTTGCTCATCTCGTGCCGGGACATTTCTCTGGCTGCTCCTCGCCCTCGCCAGCCGGGCCTGGAGCTTCAACCTGGATACGACACACACTCTACATAAGTTTGGAGACAGAGGCACATTTTTCGGCTTTTCTCTAGCACTTCACCAACAGCTTACTCCAGAGCCGCAGAGCTGGTGAGTGAACCCCCCCCCCAAAACCCCGCACCCCCCCGTGTGAGTGTGACCTCAGCGTGCACCTTTTATTCTCGGTTTTAAAAATCATGATTTTTCTCTCTGTTTCAAACAGTGAGATTTTTTTAGCTTCAGCCTTGGTGCAGTCAGCATTTCTATGCTGCACCAATCCTGGCAGAGGCCATAACTCTGAAGTGGATGCAGGAGTTTTAGCATGTTTATGTGAGCCACGTACGGGCGAGAGCGGCTCCGAGTTAATAGAGAGTGATTTATCGTTAGAGGAGAGTGGATGAGAGTGGGTTCGGTGCTGAGTCAGCTGACAGGCGGCGATTTCTCCAAAAGGGAGAAAAAAATCGTTTTTGGTGATGTTTTGCTTCAGTTTTTGGACTGACGATGAAGAGTTTTTTGATGGGACAAAGAAAGGAGACACCTCAGTGTCCTGCAGCGTATGAGTGTTTGGATGTGTTGGCCAGATCTGCTCTATTTCAACGGCTAATTTTTTTGTTGTGTTTTACGAAGTATTACAATGACACAGACACACTCTATAAACGACGATGATAACTCTGTAATTGTGTTTTATAAAAACAGTGTCACTTTCAAATCAGAAATCCTTTTTTAGTCTCCTTGTAATACACCTTGGTGTTATATATATATATATATATATATAGTATTATAAATATATATATAAGTATTAATAAATTCACAAACAAACACTTTTATCAATTATTTCACAGGTAATTAGAATGATCAAATATTGCACCGAAAACATTTGAACATTGCAACAAACGTAACCAGAATGTTGTGCAAAATATAAATCAAATATTTCACAAATTTAATAACGTGAAAATATATGTTGTTATATATCAATATAACTTGCTATTTTTAATACAGGTTTTACACCAACACTTTCCTTCGGCCTGACTAGAGCCATCACAAATATGACATAACACCGTGAAAATGTCACAGTACACATAGTACACAGACAGTACTGTATAAGATATAAGGTTTTATAAGAAAAATATTTGATGTAGATGATGAGAAAAGTGAGAAGTTATTTAAATGTCAATTCAGCAGTCTCTAAAATATTCAAATTCATGTCCAAGTCCAGAAATTATATATATATATTCGCTACTTCAATATCGTAGTAATTTTCTAGATTATTCTGATATTTGTATAAAAACTATTATGAAGTGGACTACCAGCAAAATGAATGCGACACCGTCGGGTGAAAAAGTGAATGAGGGAGTTATTTCACTACAGGGCTCCTGATGTAGAGCTCCATATTTAACCGGTAGTTCCTCAGTTTACCCAGGGCCGCAGTCACACTGTCGCCTGCTAAGACTGAGCGAATGACATCAGCTTTCACGCAGACAGTTAGTGATAGCTGAAGAGTCAGGTCGCCCCCCCACCC